GCTGGACTAGAAGACCTCCAAAGTCCCTTCCAGCTTCTCTTCTCCTCTCCTCTTCTCTTCTCTTCTCTTCTCTTCTCTTCTCTTCTACTCTACTCTACTCTACTGTACTCTACTCTATTCTATTTTCTATTCTATTTTCTATTCCATTTTCTATTCCATTTTCTATTCTATTCTGTTCTGTTCTATTCTATTCTATTCTATTCTATTCTATTCTATTCTATTCTATTCTATTCCATTATTCTATTCTATTCTATTCTATTCTATTCTATTCTATTCTATTCTATTCTATTCTATTCTATTCTATTAAATTCCATTCCATTCCATTCTATTCATTCCATCCTATATTCTCTTGTCTTCCATTCATTCCATTCCATTCCATTCCTATTCTATTCCATTGGTGACATGATAGCAGTGTTCCAGTATCTGAGGGGCTGCCACAAAAAAGAGGGGGTCAAATTATTCTCCAAAGCACCAGAGGACAAGACAAGAAACAATGGCTGGAAACTGATCAAAGAGAGAAACATCCTGGAATTAAGGAGAAACTTCCTGACAGGGAGGACAATTAACCAGTGGAACAGCCTGCCTCCAGAAGTCATGGGTGCTCCATCACTGGAGGTTTTTAAGAAGAGATTGGACAACCACTTATCTGAGATGGTATAGGTTCTCCTGCTTTAGCAGGGGACTGGACTAGATGACCTCCAAGATCCCTTCCAGCTTTGTTCTATCCTAAGGGTTAAAAATGGTTGTAAGTCACTTTTTTCAGCACCATTCTCACTTTTGAACAGTCACTAAATGACCTGTTGTAAGTCAAGGTCAACCTGTATACCATACTGACCTGTGTGTACACAAACAAAGACACACAAAAAGGGGGAGATTTAGTTACAAAGACACACAAAAAGGGGGAGATTTAGAGACTGTGTGTACGTTTGCTTGCCCAAATTTGAAATGCGTTTTATTGATCAAGGATCCTGTGGCCGCCGTTTTTTTTTCTCCCTCTGCCAAGTGCATCCAGCCGGGTGGTTAATTGCTGCCTTGCAATTTGCAAACGAACTTAGCAAACGCAAAATGCCATTTTCAAGAAATGCCACTCTGCCAAAGGTCTTCCTGTCCTCTCCATCACATTCTCCCCCCCCTTAATTGTCCCAAAGTGATCTAACCTTTGAAAGCCATTGTTTAATAAACCCACTCACTTCGTTGCATCTCATTGTGTCTCAGCAGGGCTGTGTGCCAGTGCCGCAGAATGAATGGAATGGTACTCTGGAGCTGACAGTGTATAATAATAATAAAAAAGTTGGAAGGGACCTTGGAGGTCATCTAGTCCCACCCCCTGCTCAGGCAGGAAACCCTACGATAGCTGTGATGAAATCTGTAGGAAGTCTCTGTTCTTGGGGATATCTGCCCATTTCAACCCCAAAATATTTAGGCCTGGACCTCCCAAAGGTGTTTTTTCAGGAGAAAAACTGGACTTTCTTGTTTTCAACAACAACAACAGCAACAACAACAATAATAACAAAGTTGGAAGGGACCTTGGAGGTCTTCTAGTCCAACCCCCTGCTCAGGCAGGAAACCCTACACCATTTCAGACAAATGGCTGCCCAGTCTCCTCTTAAAAACTTCCAGTGTTGGAACATTCACAAGTTCTGGAGGCAGGCTGTTCCACTGGTTAATAGTTCTGTCAGGAAATTTCTCCTTAGTTCCAGGTTGCTTCTCTCCTTGATTTGTTTCCATCCGTTGCTTCTGGTCCTGTGATTTAGACATATCATTCCTAGCTGGTAAAAAGATTTTGTATTCTTTTTTCTTTTATAATATTCTTTTAACTTATTGAAGTATAAAATACAAATAAAAATGAAAACAGTAAGAAAATGAGGAAGGGAAAGAGGGGAGGAAAGAAAAGTAGAGGGGGAAAACGAAAGAAAAGCTTTGACTTCCTTTTAGTGAAGTAGAATAAAACAATAGCATTAGAACAGAATAAATAATAGCATTAGACCACCGGGCCAAAATTATTGTCAGAATTAGCAGAGGACCCGTCTCCTTGACACGACTTGTTCCCAAAGGATATGATAGTAGTCTTCCAGTGTTTGAGGGGCTGCCCCAAAGAAGAGGGAGTCAAGCTATTCTCCAAAGCGCCTGAAGGCAGGACAAGAAGCAACGGATGGAAACGAACCAAGGAGAGAAGCAACCTGGAACTAAGGAGAAACTTCCTGACAGTGAGAACAATTGATCAGTGGAACAGAACTTGTGTGTGCTCCATCACTGGAGGCTTTTGAGAAGGGATTGAACAACCATCTGTCTGGAATGGAGTAGGGTTTCCTGCTTGAGCAGGGGGTTGGACTAGATGACCTCCAAGGTCCCTTCCAACTCCGTTATTCTGTTCTGTTCTCCAAGGCAGCTAGGGCAGGACAAAAAGCAACGGATGGAAACTAATCGAGAACCAACTTAGAACTACGGAGAAATCTCCTGACAGCGAGAGCAATTAACCAGTGGAACAGCTTTGCCTTCAGAAATTGTGGATGCTCCATCACTGGAGGTTTTTGAGACTGGACAGCCATTTATCTGGGATGGTATAGGGCAGGGGTAGGCAACCTTGGCTCTTTTATGACTGGTGGACTTCAACTCCCAGAATTCCTGAGCCAGCATGGGGGAACTATGGTCCCCTCACGACTCGTGGACTTCAACTCCCAGAATTCCTGAGCCAGCATGGGGGAACTATGGCCCCCTCATGAGTCGTGGACTTCAATTCCCAGAATTCCTGAGTCAGCATGGGGGAACTATGGTCCCCTCATGACTTGTGGACTTCAACTCCCAGAATTCCTGAGCCAGCTTGGAAACCTGTCCCTTTCCCCTCAGCATGGCTGGCTCAGGAATTCTGGGAGTTGAAGTCCACGAGTCATCAGAGCCAAGGTTGCTTACCCCTGATCTAGGGTCTCGTCCTTGAGCTGGTGGTTGGACTAGAAGACCTTCAAGGTCCCTCCTAACTGTTATTCTGTTCTTTTATCAGCTCTGGACTCCACACCTCTCAGGGGGCACATGAGTGGCCTTCTCCACCCCAGTGCTGAAAGCCAAGTCCTTCTCAACCACATTATTCTTAAGCCAGATCCCCCTAGAAAGCCGGTCTTGTGTTGTAAAGCTGAGACAGCTCAATGCTAATGCAATTAAGCCTCCTGCATTGCTGGAGACACAGGCGTTTCCCTAAAAGCTTCTCCGACGATAAATATGCTCAATGTACAGTGGAAATTGGCTCTTAATGGTTCTACGTAAGCTTCGGAACGTTGACCTCACTTATTCTCTAGGTTGTCTCCAGGGCTCTTCACCACGGCCAGAGACCTGTAGTCAGTCCCCTGATGGATTCAAACCACTCTCTAGTCCTCAAGCTTTTAACCTCTCCAAAAAGATGAGCATTTAGGGGGCAGAGAGGATGATCAGAGTAACTCCCGATTCGTCTCCTAAAGGGGCTTGTGATTTTGACCCTGCGGTGGGCACACTCTCCTTCAAGGCTGAGATGTCCAGGAATTAATTTATTATGAGATCCTAATTACCAGATCACAGTGGAGCCTGGTGGAGCTCTTTGCGGCTGGCTGTCTCTTCTGCCCATTGAAAAAGAGTTGTGCTTGACCCAGTAAATTGGGTTTAATGTTTAATCATGCCTTATTGAGAGGCTCAGCTCGGAGAACAGGGCCTCCACCATCTGACACAATTGTGACTGTGTGGTCCTTGGATCAAGATCTCCCACTTTATCCCATACAAGAGGCTGGGCTTTTCCTAACCCAGATGAATTCCCATTTATATCTGCTTGTGCACGAAATGTAAATGTAAAAGGACAATGCAACACTTCCACCTACTGGCCACATGACATATTGAGACCTGCATCAAAAGCGCAGAGTAAGAGAGTTGGAAGGGACCTTATAGGTCATCTAGTCTAACCCCCTGCCCAAGCAGAAGACCTTACACCATTTCTGGCAGATGGCAGTCCAGTCTCTTCTTGAACGCTTCCAGTGATGAAGCTCCCACAACATCTGAAGGAAACTTCTGTTCTACTGATTAATTGTTCTAACTGTCAGAAAGTTTCTCCTTAGTTCTAGGTTGCTTCTCTCCTTGATTCATTTCCATCTGTTGCTTCTTGTCCTGCCTTCAGGTGCTTTGGAGAATAGCTTGACTGCTTCTTCTTTGGGGCAGCCCCTGAGACATTGGAAGACTGCTATCCTGTCCCCCCTCGTCCTTCTCTTCGTTAAACTAGACATACACAATTCCTGCAACCATTCTTCATATGTTTTAACCTCCAGTCCCCTGATCCTCTTTGTTGCTCTTCTCTGCACTTTTTCTAGACTCTCAACATGTTTTTTATAGTGTGGCGACCAAAACTGGTTGCAGTATTCTAGGTAAGGCTTTATAGAGTGGTATTTGTCCCTGACGCGATCTTGACTGAATCCCTTCGTTAATGCAATTTAGGGTTGCAGTAAACTAGGCAGTAAACCTAGCAGTTAAACTAGGATAGTTTCTCTCTTGTAAAAATAAAAGTTGGACTCCCAAGGACCGGTGGCTAGAATAAGACATCCGAAACGCAAGACTACAGCTTGTGGCAGACAAAAACGTCCTTGACGCAGGGATGGTGGAATTACTAATCCAAAGATACAAACCTCACTTGGTGGCTAAGTGAGTCACACCCAATTTGTACCACCAATTTGCCATGTTGTTAAGTGAAACTGCAGTCGTTAAGCGAATCAAATGGTCATTAAGTTTGCCCCATTGACTTGCTCGTAGGAAAGCAGATAGGAAAATCGTAAACAGTGATCTTGGGATGCTCAACTGTTGGACATATATGCCAGTTGCCAAGTGCCTGAATTTTGATCACATGACTGGGGATGATGCTACAGACGTAAGTGTGAGGACAGTCGTTAAGTTGAGGACTACCTGTATTTATTTGAGATTTCTGGTAACTCCTCATGGGCTTTTCTGCTGAAAGGGGTGACCGTTACTGGATTGCGCATTGATAAAACTCAGTCTAAGTAAAGAAAGGTTGTCAATTTATTTGCCATTTTCAAAGAGGATGAAAAATTACTATATTAGCTTGTGGTCAGTGTGATGAAGGTGGAAGCTGATTTTTTATTATTATTATTCTCTTTGTTGCCTTTCTCTCGTTTTTCTTTTTCTGCACCTTCCAAACTTTTCTTTTCCTAGTTTAGTTTGTATTAGTCTTTATTATGTTTATTAAAAAGGTGAATAATATTATTTGCTTCTTTTTTTTTTCTTTTAAAGAGGAGGTGGTTGCTGGAAAAGGCAGAATTAACTTTGGGGGTGCCAAAGTCTTCCCTGGAAGGAGATTCACGTGTTGGTTTCAAAAGTTCACAGCGAACATGTTTGTGCAAAGACACACACACACACACACACACACACACACACACACACACACACCTTCCCCAATGTCTGTTTCCAGCTGGTTTGGCTGGATATTGTGCTGGTGCTTCTAAATAGTGATAGACTGTCGGCAAAAAAATTTAGATATGTTTCCAGGCCCTAAACCAGTCAGAAACAATTCATCTGCATCCACAAATTTGCTCTCATTTCATTTCATCTTCATGTGCTGTGCACGGAGCCAGAACTGAACGATCGTTGGGGCAGCTCTTGTGTCAAAATGGGAAAGAGACTACATTTAAGAGATCTTTTGCAGACACAACAGCTATGTGAATAGCCACACAGGTGAAAGGAATGTGAGAATGGCCTTACGTGGCAGGACCCAGAGACGCTGACCAAGGGGATGGTCAGATAAGAGACTGCTTAGCCCACAGCTGAATGGGTGGAGAGAGAGATGCTCAGAAGCTGCATCCTCCCAAATTTCTCAGAGTGTAAAAGAGACGGGGCGGGAGAATTGTGCTTCCCGGTTTGCAAGATTCTGTTGATGTAGCCTTACAAAAAAAAAAAAGCAGAATTAACTCATCTGGTTGTGTTACCTGTCTGGTCTACCTGGTAAGACTGACAATGGAAGATCCCCTTTAAGAAGGAACGCAAAAGACTTTCTGGAGACGAGAAGCTGGAAAAGATCCAGAAAGGAGGAGAAAAGATTGGAGGCTTTACTTGCCTCTCCAAGGGTGCTCCATTGGAGTCTTCCAACTCAGAGGTTGCTTTTCAGGTTCTCCAAGTCTTGGCATGAGAAAAAACAACCTGGAGTAGGCACAGTCCTTATGTTTCCAATGGAGCCATCTGCTCCCTTTCATTTCCACCCCCCATCGTCTGTTTAATTGCTTGAGATCCTTCCTGAGGAGGAATTGAGGTTTATCTGGCGTGGCTGCTATTGTGAGCCGGGTTTGGGGTCCTCCTGCAGAAGTGGGCTTGTTTCCGAAGCTTCCAGACGGTTGGGCGTTTGCAAAGTCTTTTTGGCAGCCTTTCTCTGAAAAGAAGTCAGAAGTTAAGTTAGAAATTGCACCGATCCTGAAATACGTGAGTTGGGGTGATCCTCAGCTGAGCCAACTTCCCAATGTGACCTCTCATCCTTTTCCCACCTTCTACAAGCCAGGATGCTGGCCTGGTTCCTCGGCCACTGAATTCTGCGGTTTAGCCCAACCTGGTGTCCTTCAGAGGTAAGGGGACAAACTGAGATCATCCCATCATGGTTAAAAACTGGAGTGTCACGCTCTCTGCAGAGTCTCCAGGTGGGAGATGATGATTGTAGATTAGAACCACCTATTGTTTAATGAAATATATCAAACCAAATCGAGTTTGTTTAATTAGGGTCAAGGCATTTGACTGGATTCAGACGGGCCACGGTTTGAATCTGGTTTGCGTCTGTAAACCACTGATTTATGTTATATCAGCATTAATTATCTAAAGAGGAAACCATCATTTATTTCCTGTTTAGAGAAGAAAATTTGCCCAATCTTTTATTTTCCTGGTTTCTTTTCTAAGGAGCGGGGGAGGCCAACTTATCCCTTATTCAAGGGCTCTTTTGAATAAGGTAGCAAACACGCAGCGAGGGATCCCTTGCTCTCACGGGTTTAAAGAATATGCCAAGTGGGTGAGCGTCTAAAATTCTCTCTCTGATGCCACCTAGAAACAATTGCTTTGGGTAGTTCATAAGGGAGAATATTTGTAGCACAGGGTTGAAATGAGGGGTCCTTGGTGGTCTCTGAGGTTGGTGGTTTTCTTGCAGATGTTTCATGACCCAACTAGGGAACATCATCAGTGCTAGAAGGGAGGAGGAGGGGGTGGTTGATGACTGTGGGGTCCTCGGTACGCTCTGAGCTTGGTGGTTTCCCTGCAGAGGGAACATCCTAAGTGATAGAAGGGAGTGAGGTTTGCAGAGAGGAGGAGTAAGAAGACTCTGGGGTCCTTGGTGCTCTCTGAGCTTGGTGGTTTTCTTGCAGGCGTTGCCTTACCCAACTAGGGAACATCATCAGTGCTAGAAGGGAGTAAGGTTTGTGGAAAAAAGGAAGGATGATGAGGACTGGTGGGTCCTTGGTGCTCTCTGAGGTTGGTGGTTTTCTTGCAAATGTTTCATGACCCAACTAGGTAGCATCATCAGTGCTAGTTTGGGTAGTGAAATATCTGCAAGAAAACCACCAAGCGCAGAGAGCACCAAGGACCCCATAGTTGTCCTCCTTCTCCTCCTCTTCTTCCTTCTCCTTCCCCTGATGATGTTCCCTAGTTGGGTCATGAAATGTCTGCAAGAAAACCACAAGCTCAGAGACCATCAAGGACCCACAGTCCTCCTCCTCTTCTCTGCAAATCCCACACCCTTCTAGCACTGGTGATGTTACCTAAATGGGTCGTGAAACATCTGCAAGAAAACCACAAGCTCAGAGACCACCAAGGACCCCACCGTCTTCTTCTTCTTCTTCCTCCTCCTCCTCCTCCTTCCCTGCAAATCCCACTCCCTTCTATCACTGCTGATGTTACCTAAATGGGTCATGAAACGTCGGCAAGAAAACCGCCAAGCTCTGAGAGCACCAAAGATCTTTCCTGTTGCCAGGGTTTCCATTCTGAAGATGTGAAGTCCTCCACGGGCAGAAGACTCTGGATCAGTGTTTCTCAACCTTGACAATTTTAAGGCATGTGGACTTCAACTCCCAGAATTCCACAGCCAGCACATGCCTTAAAATTTCTCAAGGTTGAGAAACACTGCTCTGGATAAACCACAAGGCTTCTTTGCAATTTGCAGACTCCTTATCAACTCACTGCCACCAGATTGTTCCAGGGGCTACATTTAGGGAGTACAGGTAGTCCTAGATTTATGATCATAACTCTGGAGCCCAGAATTGCAATCCTAAGTCATGCTGGTTGTTAAACCGGTCACTGATTTTATAATCTTTTTCAAATGCCACAGTAGTTAAGCAAGGGTCTTCTGAAATGGATATGGGTGTTTGTTTGTTTTTTTGCTAGAAATCAGCTAGCTTCTGGCAAAAACCTCCCAAAAAACATTGTAAGTCTTGGCCACAGGATTCTGGGATGCTGCAAATAGCTGGAAATGCAGCCTTGTTGACCAAGCACGCAAAATGTGATAATGTGACTGTCAGAACTTTGAATCTGATTCGCAAGTAGCTTTGGGGAAGCTGTTGTAACTTGGAATGGTGACCAGTCGTAACTCAAGGACTTCCTGTATCTTCCAGGTCTCTAAAGACCAGGAGTTTGGGGTGGGTTCTTCAGCGTCACAGATACTCATCCTGCGAAATTTCATAAACTTTTTTTTTTTTAGAAAGGGATTCAACGGGATGTTAGTTGGGTCCCAAGAGTTACACCATCCGAGGCTTAGCAAAAGCAACAAAACTTTCAATCTTCGATTGATTCTTTCAATCTTTTCATTGGCTTGTATCGAAAGACGGGGCGGGGCGGGGGGGGGTGAGAGAGAGAAGTCACAGCAGATTAAGTGGTTATTATATGGGGAGGAATGAGAGGGGCTGTGATAAAGTTAGGGGGCCACTAAAAAATCAGAAGCCATTGGGTGAAGATTAGCTGCCACGAAGATAAAACGTTTTTTTAAAGCAGCAAGCCATTCCAGCAGCCTTTTTAAAACGCGAGGAGGTTTTAAAAGTAAGTCAAGCTACATTTTGCTGGTATTGTGAAACGCGAATTTGACGTTACCTTTTGTGTTTTATTTTTTTTGTTTTGTTTTTCGATCGCCGCCTATTATTTCATCTCCATCCACTGCAAGCTGGCTTTTTTCCTGGAGGCAGGGATCGCCTCTCTTGGTGCTGAGTTTTTATTACTACGCCAAAATAAAAAGCTTTTTTCCTAGAAAATAATTAGCCCGGTTTAAAACAGTTTAGGCTAGAGTTTCAGGACACTTATGTTACTGATTGAAGACAGGAAGGAAGGAAGGAAGCTGCTGTTTAAGTGAATGGTTTTATCAATTAGGTTATGTCCTTTTTAAATTAACTTTAGGAGATCAGAGAAATTATTCACCCCTAATTTAAACACACTTAGGTTTATCATTTTAAATACAATTTAAAAGTGATTAAGAAGCGAGTTATTGTTAAAACATGGAGGTGTGCTACTTATTTTCAATCTACCGAGTGCCAGGCAAGGGGGGCTAAAAGCTATGCTACAAAAACAACAACAACACAGAGTTATACAAACACACACAATTCTGCACAGTGGACAAACGTTGCTAGTATTGCGACAAGACTCCTGTAACATTCAACAGATGAGTTAGGGGAGCATGCAATGTTTTGTTTTGAGGCAGGCAAGAGAGATCAGAAAAGAGGAATTCTCTGTTAAGAGATCTAGCTTTTTTCAAACGATCCACTGAAGGATCTCTTACCAACGGCCCGTGATACCCATAATTAATGCCAGATTCAGGTGGGATCTGTATGGCAGCTGACCGATCCTTCTGTTGTGACAGATTGAACGTCTGTTGAGGAAGTAAACAGGTCCAATGTGAACACCACCCTAAACCAGTGGACGAGCTTTAGAAGATGGGCTTTGCTTTCTAACCTGATCTTCTGATCCAGTGGAGAAACGATTTGCAGGTAGCCAGATTTAATCGGAAAGATTCAGAAACCTGCAAGAAGCCTCATAAAGCTTGAATGGAGTAGAATAACAGAGTTGGAAGGGACCTTGTAGGTCATTAGTCCAATCCCTTCACCTAAGGAGGAGAACCTACACCATTCCAGATAAGTCTCTTCTTGGAAGACTCCAGTGATGAAGCTCCCACAACGTCTGAAGGCAACTTCTGTTCCATTGGTGGATTGTTCTCGCTGTCAGAACATTTCTCCTTCTTTCTAGGTTGAATCTCTCCTTGATCAGCTTCCATCCGTTATTCCTTCTCTGGCCTTCAAGTGCTTTGGAAAATAGGTTGACCCCTTCCTCTCCGTGACAGCCCCTCAAACACTGGAAGACTGCTATCATATTGCCTCTAGTCCTTTGGATTAAATCCCTTTAACCAAATAACATAATAGCAGAGCTGGAAGGGACCTTGGAGGTCTTCTAGTCCAGGGGTCACCAATCCCTGGTTCGTGGACCGATATCGGGCTGTGACAGGCCAGCAACTGGTCCGCACAAACAAGCAAAGCCCCTCAAATATTGGAACACTGCTATCCTGTCTTCCATGGACCTTCTCTTCCCTAGACCAGCCCAGTTCCCGCAACCGTTCTTCATGCATTTTAGCCTCCTAATTATCTTGGTTGATCTTCCTTCCACTTTTTCTACAGTCTCAACATCTTTTTTTTTATATATAGTTTGGAGACTAAAACTGAATGCAAAACTAATGCCCACCCCGTAACATTCTGCGACTGGGCTAGGTATGAACGACGGTGCCTCTTTTTTCCCCACAATGTCCAAAGCTGGCCACCTGGATGGAAGCCAGAGGTTTCCAACAAATGAGCTGCTGAGGTTATACCCCACTGCAGAACAGAGGACAACAAGAGTCGAGAGGGACCTTGGAGCTCTTGTGGTCCAACCCCCTGACGAAGTATGTGCCATACTGTTGACTCAGCCTCAGGGGAGATCAGATGCGATGGTTTCTTGAGGTCATCAGATACAACTTGTGATTTTGGGGCCTTGCAACTTCCGAAGGAGGAGAAGATGTTGAGAAACACCATTGTGAATGAGCGGTTACTCTATTTATTTTATTCTATTCTGTTCTGTTCTGTTCTATTCTATTCCATTCTATTCTATAATCTTTCTGTTCTGTTCTGTTGTTCTGTTCTATTCAACTCTACTGTACTCTATTCTATTCTACAATCTTTCTATTCTGTTCGACTCTATTCTATTCTATAATCTTTCTATTCTGTTCTGTTCTGTTCTATCCTATCCTATCCTATCCTAATTCCATATTCTATTCTATTCTTATTCCATGTTCTATTCTATTCTTATTCCATATTCAATTCAATTCATTCCTATTCTATTCTTATTCCATATTCTATTTCTATTTCCTATTATTTGTATTCTATTCTACTATTCCTATTCCATATTCTATTCTATTCTTATTCCATATTCTGTTTCTATTTCTATTATTTGTATTCTATTCTACTATTCTTATTCCATATTCTATTCTTAATCCATATTCTATTCTATTCTTATTCCATATTCTATTTCTATTATTTGTATTCTATTCTACTATTCTTATTCCATATTCTATTCTATTCTATTCTATTCTTATTCCGTATTCTATTTCTATTTCTATTATTTGTTATTCCATATTCTATTCTATTCTATTCTTATTCCATATTCTATTCTATTCTATTCTTATTCCATATTCTATTCTATTCTATTCTATTCTTATTCCATATTCTATTCTATTCTATTCTATTCTATTCTATTCTATTCTATTCTATTCTATTCTAAAAAGAGGCTACACAGTCACGTGTCTGAGATGGCGTAGTTTCTCCTGCTTGAGCAGGGGGCTGGACTAGAAGACCTCCAAGGTCCCTTCCAGCTCTGTTCTATTCTAGTAACACAGTTGTTCCGACTCCTTTTGCTGTCTTTAATACCAAATAGACCGCACAGTTACAGCTGTTGGACTACAACGTGGGAGAGTTGTACGGTATTCCTCCTATTGCCCGGGGAAAAAAGAAAAACTCTAACAGGAAGTCACGTCTGCTGGAAAGCTGTTTTGACGGCTACTTCAAAAAATACAGCCTCAGCTTCCAAGTGACAACTGGCACAAAAACTGCTTCTTCTTCACTCGATGGCTCTGGATCTGGCCATTTCTCAAGGAATCGTCTTCCACAATCTTCTCTTTGTGAGCGACACCTTGGATCTTGTGAGGCTTCCTCGCTGAGAGGCCTTCTAATCCGCTGGGACATCCATAGCTGACTCCTGTTTCCAGGTGGCATGGAACCAAAGTGGAACTTCAAGCGTGACGTTTTTCTCCTTGGACGGGACCACCTCGTCTCAAAGGGAAAGAACTGGCAGCTCCAACTGGGTTGGATGGCACACGCAGCCTGTAGAAAACCAACTCTAGGTGGGAGGGAACGACAGCAACTTTTCACCCTCTCACCTCGGAAGGAGAAGTTCAGCAAGAGTCATGTTCTCCAGTTTTGCTGAGCCCAGCTCCAAGTTTCTTGTTTGTTTCCTTAAAAAAGTGGCTCTCTGGGCAAACTCAAGAAGGTTAGAAGAAGAAAAACAAAAAACAGCATTTGGAAGAAGAGGGAAGTGATAGTCTGACAGTCAGCAGGGAAAGATCAGAAGGATGTAGAAAGATGAACAACAAGGTTGAGGAAGGAGACCAGCAGATCTAAGGTCACTTGATGCCTACCTTGGTCCTGAGCCCAAATGAGCCAGCTGCTATGAGCAGAAGACCCCCCAAGCCCATCAGGCAGTATTTCAGGTATTCCAGCAATAAAGGGAGGATTATCAGATGGGTATAGAAGTCATCCAGAATATCTCCTACAAGCTCCCCACTCTGTTCAGAACAAAGAAACAAACAGTTGAGTGGTTCTAGATTTTATTGCCTGCATCTAAGAGGCAGGATTCTTAGCAGAGTGGGAGAACATGGCTGAAACCAAGGAAGGAGACAACCAGCATCCAAACTTTCCTTTCCTTTTATTTTCTTGTCAAACAGGAGCATAAGTCACAATAAAATTCAGCTGCCAAGTGTGAAATAAATCATTATCCCTCCCCCAAAAAAGACTATTGGTAAAATTATAAATTTAAGTAATGAATATTTAGATAAAGGGAGGGAGGGAGGGAGGGAGGGAGGGAAGGAAGGAAGGAAGGAAGGAAGGGAGGAAGGAAAAGTGGGATGCATGGAGGAAGGAGGAAAAGGAGGGAGGGAGGGAAAGAAGGAAGTCAGGCAGGAAAAGGGGAAAAGCGGATGGAGGAAGGAAGGAAAGGAAGGAAGGAAGGAAAGGAGGAAATGAGGAAGGAAGGAAAGGAAGGAAAGAAGGAAAGGAAGAAATGGAGGAAGGAAGGAAAGAAAGGAGAAAATGGAGGGAGGAAGGAAGGAAGGAAAGAAAGGAGGAAATGGAGGGAGGGAGGAAGGCAGGAAGAAAGGAAGGAAAGAAAGGAAATGGAGGGAGGGAGGGAAGAAGAAAGGAAGGAAAGAAAGAAGGAAGAAAAGAAAGGAGGAAATAGAGAGGGAGAAAGGAAGGAAGGAAGGAAGGAAGGAAGGACGGAAGGAAGGAAGGGAAATGGAGGGAGGGAGGAAGGAAGGAAGGAAAGAAGGAAGGAAAGAAAGGAGGAAATGGAGGGAGGAAGGAAGGAAGGAAGGAAAGAAGAAAGGAAGGAAGGCAGAAAAGGAGAAAAAGATGGAGGGAGGGAGGGAGGGAGGGAGGAAGGAAAACCTGATTAATGCAAACTATATACACCCTTCTCAGAAGATTTTTGGGTATGTGTGTCTGTGTGTGCCTGTGTGTGTGCGTGTGCGTGCGCCTTTGTATGTGTAAGCATGCAGACAGATCCACACTTACCTCAGCAAACCAAATCATGGGCAAAACCACGGGCTTAATCTGTCCAGTTTGCCTGGAGAAATCAGGAGAGAACCCTCATTTTAAAATCACCGGGCCCACCTCCCCGTGCCCCCTTTTCTAGGTCTGAGTCTGCCCCCCCCCAACTTGGCCTGGCGAGGAGGGACAGAGGATACCCAGAAGAGCCAAAGAAACTGGCTGTTCCAACCTCAATCTCCCCCCCCTTCCCCCCCCAGCGCTTGGCCCACCACCTACCAGATGCCAGGGATGTGTTTGATGAACAGATTCATTTGCATTTTGACCGAACAGTTCATGGGAATCCCCGTCAGCTGCAGAAAAAAAAAAGAGAGAAAGAAAAGAAACGGATTTAGTTGTTTTTTGTGCTTTGTTTTTTTACAAAGACCTCTTTGATTTTTTCCTTTGGCTAGGCATCCAAAGCCTCTCGAAGCGATGTGTTGTGTGTTTGACGAAATCTTACCCCCCAAAAATAAAATAGCAAAATGAACGTAATCAGGCCACGGGAACAAAGCAACAATAAATAAATATCTTCAAAATCAGCCCATAATTTGCGTGCACGGAGTTGTAACACCACATACACAGAGTGGGCGCATGGACGGCAGAAGAAAACGGCTATTAATTTTACCCTTCAAGCTGCACACGCTCCTGCGCTCTGTGTGCAGCTTGTCCTCGACTTACGACGGTTTGTTTAGTGACGGTTCAAAGTCCCAACGGTACTGGGGGGGGGGAAAGGAAGTTAGGACCGCTTTTCAGACTTAATGACCGTTGCAGCATCTCCTGGGTCACGTGATTCAATTTCAGACATTTGGCAACGGACTCACATTTACGGCAGTCGCAGTGTGATCCCGTTTGTGGCCTTCTAACCAGCAAAGTCAGTGGGGGAAGCCAGATTGACTTAACAGCCGTGTTCCTAACTTAACGACTGCAGCGATCCACTTAACAATTGTGGCGAGAAAGGTCGCAAAATGGAGCAAAAGTCACTTAGCAGCTGTCTCGCTTAACGATGGAAATTTGGTCCTCTGCTAGGTGCAACCATTGCCCTCCTGCTAGAGAAGGGGATATGAGGGTCCATTGTTGTTGTTGTTAGTTGTGAAGTCGTGTCTGACCCATCGTGACCCCATGGACAATGTTCCTCCAGGCCTTCCTGTCCTCTGCCATCTTCTGGAGTCCATTGAAGCTCACGCCTCCTGCTTCTGTGACTCCATCCAGCCACCTCCTTCTCTGTCGTCCCCTTCTTCTCTTGCCCTCCATCTTTCCCAGCATCAGACTCTTCTCCAGGGAGTCCTTCCTTCTCATTAGGTGGCCAAAGTCCTTGAGTTTCAACTTCAGGATCTGGCCTTCTAAAGAGCAGTCGGGGTTGATCTCCTTTAGGACTGACCGGTTGGATCGCCTTGCAGTCCAGGGGACTCGCAGGAGTCTTCTCCAGCACCAGAGTTCAAAGGCCTCCATTCTTTGGCGCTCAGCCTTTCTTATGGTCCAACTTTCACAGCCATACATTGCCACTGGGAAAATTTTTAATTTTCCATTTTTAAGAAGTGCCAAATTCAGTCAGATGTATTCCTGGTCCTCTTCTCTTTGCTTACAAACTGACTGGAGATGTTCGCTCTGAACAGGATGAAGTGGATTCTCCCATTAAAAAAACCCCAAACCACCTTCCAATATAGTTAATATAGATCAGTGGTGGCGAACCTATGGCACGGGTGCCAGAGGCGGCACTCAGAGTCCTCTCTGTGGGCACGTGTGCCGTCGCCCCAATCCTAGGCCTTCAGCTGGGTTTTATAAAACCTTTTTGCTTTAGGCTTCCGCCGCCATGTGCAAAAAAAAAAAGGTTCAATCAATCAGTCAATTTCAACTTCTCGTGGAAAAAAAAGATCTTGCAAAGTTGGAATTGATTGATTGAACTTTTTAGTCCCACCCAGTCTGCCGTTACCACTGCATCCACACCCAGCCAATGGGCCACGCCCACCCAAAGGGCCACAACCAGTCAATGGGCCACATCCACCCGGCACCCAACGATGCATAAGTGGGTTTTGGGTTGCAGTTTGGGCACTCGGTCTCTAGAAGGTTCGCCATCACTGATATAGATGATGGACTTGAGACAATAAAGGACACTCTATTAGTAAGTGATGATGTATTAGGATGAGAAATAGAAAATGTTTATGAAATAAGATGATATATTTAAGTAAGTAATATGTGTATGGTAGATATTATAACTTTTATGTAGTGAAATAAAGGAAATTTGGATTACCCAAAACTTAAATACTATGGATATTAAAGGTTAAATTGGTTTGGACAAAACTCAGCAGCACTTTTTCGTGCGGCTCCTGATAAAAACAGAATCGTCAACATAATTGCTAACGTCTGATAACGGCTATGGCACAAGAAGAAGAAAATTAAAAATTAAAAATCAGGTAAAACTTAAAAACCGGACATGGATATGTATAGGCAAAAAATATATTGATAAATGTTTTAACGGAGTTTGGTATAGTTAGAAATGTACTAGCCTAAATATGATATAGCAAATGTTAAGGGAAATAGCGAAGGAATATTTGAGGATGTCACCTGAGATATGTGCTAAAGATGTTGTTATCAAACCACTGATTACCCAGTCACCACGCTGCTTTCCGAATACTTAAATGTAAAACTGGAAAACTGATAAAATTTGTTATATATATATATAAAAATCCAAAATCACAGTTCCAAGGGCTTGTCTCTTTATAATTTGTTTTATTATTTTTCACCATACACCATACACCAAAACAAACTTAAAATACATAAACATAAATCTTTTCTTTTAACAGAGCAGTACTCTACATTTTAAGCATTCTTTACATCTTATGTACATTTTATGTACATCAATAGTTATGTCTTCTCCTTTCTCTGTTCTAGCCAATTATAATATTTATTCCACATTTCATAAAATTCTGTCGCCTCCTTGTCTTTTAATTCTAACGTAAGTTTGTTCATTTCTGCGCATTCCAAGATTTTGCACATAAATCATATCATTTGTGGGAATATTTTCACTCTTCCAACATTGAGCATATGCTATACAGCTGCAGTCAGTATGGGTATAATGATGTGTTGGAGTTGTTTTATCCATCTTTAAATGTATTATGCCCAAAAGAAATAATTCTGGTTTGTGGTCCATTTGTATCTCAGTTATCTCCTGTATTCGTTCCCCATAATTTTTTGCTTTGGGGCACAGATCCAAGGGCTTGTCTCGTAAAGGGCCAGAACTGGCAAGATCAAGGTGAGAATGCCTGCAAGGGTTACAGGGGAGAAATGGATGTTTTCGGAGGAGAGATTAAGAATGGCTCAACATCTCTCCGGTTCCCAAGGAGTTGGCCAAGAAGACACAAGGGGTGCTCAGAGGCCCCAGAACATCAGTGCTTGAAAGCCTTGACAGCTTTATCTCTGGAACGGTTGAGCAATGCAGCCTCCAGGATGGATGAGGAAATTGGGATATATATGGCTGTCATGGTTCCGACTAAATGAAACACTTCAAAGAACTTCCAGGCATGTTTATGCTAATATTGAATATTCTTGCTTGGACAATGCCTTTCTCTCCGTCCCTTTCCCAACGGCCTTGGCTGATCCGAAGGGGGGGGGGGAGGAGGAAGAAGAAGAAGAAGAAGAAGAAGACTGTGAGGTCCTTGGGGTTCTCTGAGCTTGGATGTTTTCTTGCAGACGTTTCATGACCCTACTAGGCAACAACATCTGTGCTAAAAGGGAGTGGGATTTGTGGAGAGGAGGAGGAGGAGGAGGAGGAGGAGGAGGAGGAGGAGGAGGAGGAGGAGGAGGAGGGCAAAAGAAGAGCAACGTAGGAGTTGGGAGTGATTTACCGTTTTTGTGGTGAAGAGAGGAGGAGGAGAAGAGGAAGGAGAAGGATGGAAGAAGAAGGAAGAAGAGGAAGAAGAAAAAGGTAAAGGAGAAAAAGGAGGAGAAGGAGGAGAAAGGGAAGAAGGAAAAGGTGGAGGAGAGGAGGAGGAGGAGGAGAAAGGGAAGGAAGAGAGAGGAAAGGAGAAGAAGAGTGAGAAAAAGAATGAGAAGATATCACGCGTGCCATAGGTTCACCACGACTGCGGCTAAGCAATCTTAAAATAATAATAATAATCGCAAATCAAGAATGATTGCAAAGACGATTTATATCCAACTGACACTTCCTTGTGTTTCTCAAATGGCACCTCAGAGTCAATTTAAAACTTTAGCTGGCCTTTAGCAAGCTTTAAATTATCCATTCGGTTTAGGGGAAAAAAAACATGAGTTCAGGAGGAGCAAATGAATGTTTGGTTGTTTAAATTTGCATGCAAGAGATATTACGAGTCCCTCAAGCTATTTCATTTTAGAATAAAAAATGCAAAGGGAAGTTGCTAGCTTCCTTTTAATACATTCTTTTGCGCTTAGCATCCAATGTATTTATTTAATCAAAGGGAAGTGGCTAGGTTCCTTTGAATACACTCTTTCGCTCTTAGGAGCTAATGTATTTATTTTAATCAAATTTATACCGGCTGCCGCCTTGTTCACCGAAACCAACTCTGGGCAGTGCACAACCTTGAATTATAAGCAGCCAATAGAAGGCAGCAGTTGGAAATGTCAAAACAATGGGGACAATCATCATAATAAAAACCAAAGAGATGCTTTGTGGCTTTCACGAAAGGTATGTTTTCCAAAATGGCAGAGCCAATATTAAAATAACTTCCACCCACCCAAGTGGGAAAATATTTTCCGATTCATCAAACCCAAAATGTAAAACAGGGTTACTTGGTTTAAACAAATGTGCAGGAAAACAACTCTGGAAATTGTATTCCTCTGTCCTGTTTGAGCAAAAGGACTGATAAAATATGGGAAGGTGCAAATCTGCCACCCTGATAATAAAGCCATAACTACCAATTAGAGTTAAAAGGCAAACTCACCGGATGTATATCAACAAACAGGTCGTGATCCTTTTTGTTCGGATGTAAGCCTTCTACCGTGTCCAGTAAAGCTGGATCAGCGTTGAAGAAATGAGGTTGAGAAATAAACACTGGTGCATCTTTAGAAGGGGGGAAAAAATTAAAATTAAAATCAGCATGTAACAAGCTCTATTTTTCCTCTCTCTTTTCAACAAGTAGCTCTCGACTTACGACCGGTTGCAAAAAGAGAGTCAGAACCTCGATCTGAAGTTCCGATGGCCACTTGACCTCACGGTAAATGGCTGCATTTATTCGTTTGTAGCATCTGATGAACCCGGGACCTCTTTTTCTGACGGTTTTTCTGAAAAACCGTGCCATAGTGACCAATCGGTTTGTTTTAGCAGGGCCATGTTTGCTGAACAACTGCTGCTAAAAAGGTCATAAAACTGGGTCGTTCACATGATTGATTTGATTCGTGGCCCTAATCAGCAGGCTCCATGACCTTCACAACCTGTAAATATGTGCAGGATTCATCCTGCCGACGGTACCTCTTTACGCATAGGTGGGTTTATTTGTTGTGGACCCTTTTCCTGACCAGCGGGTCATGGCAGAAGCCATGCTTTGAAGTTCCATCGATCATGAGGACCAGGAACTTGTTTGAGTCAAATCCTCAGTAGGGTAGCGAGTCAATACTGGAAGTGGTCCTGTTTTTTGATTGGCTGAAGTTTTATAGCAGCCTGGCACAGCCGAAAGATTTCCAGGGCAAGGCAAATTGCCAATATTTTTTTTTTTTTTTTAAATAGTGCATAGGTTATGCAAATTGCAAATTTAAAAAAATGGGCAGGTGTACATCGATGATCTAAAACAGTGGTTCTCAATCTGTGGGTCGGGACCCCATTTGGGGTCGAATGACCATTTCACAGGGGTCGCCAAACAATGCAGTCCGCCATTTTTTTCCCCCTTTTCCTTAGCTGTGCTACTCCCTTTTATTTATTGGCTTTTGAAAGCCAATAGAATAGACTCTCTTGAATAAAGTCTAATTCCACTGGCTTTCAAAAGCCAATAGGAATTGTCCAGGCTGTCTCTGCCCTGCTGAGCCCGCCAAAAGTCCCATTCTGACTGGTTGGTTAGTCCTCGACTTACGACCGGTTGGGGGTCGCGGCATTAAACAGGTTGAGGACCACTGATCTAAAAGATCTCTCGGGAAGGAGATGAACAAACAGAAACCAGGAATGATTTAAATGTGCAAAACCATAATTTCTCGACTTGAAGCTTGACCGTCAGCCAAGAATTTGGATTGAATTTCTCTTTGTTTTGTGCTGACCCAACTATGAAAACAGGAAGATGACCGAAGCCACTGGAGCGGAAAAAAAATATGCTGACCGTTTCCTACAAGCTCCATTAGGTTCCCTCCCTTGATTTCTAATTCCTGCACACCGGTCCATTATCATTGCAAATGTTAAGCTAATTCTGTCCCGCATGGTGGAACTTTGAGTCATGTGATCCGGGACACTAAAAGATCATCCAGCCAGAGGGTGAAAATTCACTCCTGGATGCAGAAAGGCCCATGTGTGAGGATCAAATTAACTGAAAATCAGGTGTCCACTCCTCATTCTTCAGTTCTGTATGCACAGGGGCAGAATTAAGCAACTGCTATACTGGTGGTCCTCAACAATTTTGAAAGAAATTGTGGGCGTTCCAGCACTGGAGATTTTTAAGAGGCTAGACTTGTCTGAGATGGTATAGGAAGTTCTCCTGTTTGTTGAGGATCCCTTCCAGCTTCTATTCTATTCTATTCTATTCTATTCTATTCTATTCTATTCTATTCTATTCTATTCTATTCTATTCTATTCTAGTCTAGTCTAGTCTAGTCTAGTCTAGTCTAGTCTAGTCTAGTCTAGTCTAGTCTTCGTACAACCAAAATATTCAGCAGACATACTTGATTGACAGGAGCTAATGTTCTGGATTCCGGATTGCCGGCACGGGCAGAAGCCCTCATTGGGTGGATAGGTGGTCCCATTGGCAAACAGATTCTTTGGAGCTGTGTAATGATAAACTGGTATCCCTCTGAATTTTCTAGACATGGTATAATTTAATTTAATTGACCTGAAAGAGACAAATTAAGAGAGAGGTCAAGTGGGACAGGAGTTCCTTGAAAGACCAGCATCCTCATGGACCATGAATGAAAAAGGTGGACCATGAATGAAGAAGGTGGATCATGAATGAAGAAGGTGGACCGTGAATGAAGGTGGACCATGAATGAAGAAGGTGGACCGTGAATGAAGAAGGTGGACCATGAATGAAGAAGGTGGATCATGAATGAAGAAGGTGGACAATGAATGAAGAAGGTGGACCGTGAATGAAGAAGGTGGGCCATGAATGAAGAAGGTGGACCATGAATGAAGACGGTGGACCATGAATGAAGAAGGTGGGCCATGAATGAAGACGGTGGACCATGAATGAAGAAGGTGGGCCATGAGAGAAGATGGATCATGAATGAAGAAGATGGACCATGAATGAAAAAACATGTCTGAAAGTTTAGAACAGAGATGGCCAATTTGGGTGGCTAGATGCCGCCTTTAAATTGAAGGGAATAAGGGATTGAAGAGTCCACCTTGAATGGCCAGCAACGTTTCACGGCCATCTAATTCCAAGAAAATGTATTTGAATTATGGTGGGACATGAGAGTTGGATAGTTGGCCATTTGTTCATTGCACTGGAGACATATTTGAAAGGCTGGGCAGAATTCTAGCGTAGGAAAGGTCTTGGAGAGACAAGGATTTGCAAGTTAGTCACCTGCAGACATCAGGAGTGTAGAGTTCCACAGGTGAAGATGGTGTCATGAAAGGTGGCCACTGTTCTCCTGCGGTTCCATTGATCATGTTACATTGATCAGAATGCCAGAATGATACCTGTAAAAGAGAAGGAGGCTTAATATCCAGAAGCCAGGTTGATTTGAGGACCCACACCTTCCTCTAAAGCGGGGGGGGGGGGCTCTAAACTTGGCAACTTTAAGACTTGTGGACTTCAACTCCCAGAATTCCATGCTGGCTGGGGAATTCTGGGCGTTGAAGTCCACAAGTCTTAAAGTTGCCACGTTTGTAGACCCCTGCTCCGAAGCTAAGAACAACAGTCCCCAAAAATGTTCATCCAGCTTCTCACGCTGCCATTAAGCTATTTCCTTCCATGCTATTTCCTCCCCTGTAGCAGACTGGCAAACTAACGTCACCAGCCCCCCCCCCAAAAAGAATTAAATCAAGAAATCCTACGAGAAAGATGGTGGGCCGTTAGAAAATAGATCTCCAGCAGAAAGTTCTCCATAGCAGCCAGACTTTGAATAAAATGGCTTGCGCCAAAAACACAAAAATGCCCCAAAAATTATGAAATGAAAAACTCTTTGACGTGTCTCCAGAATCAAGATTACATGAACAGAGGACGGGCTTCCTTCATATAAGACAGGGGGGTCTTCAAAGTGGGCAACTTTAAGACGTGTGGACTTCAACTCCCAGAATTCCTCGGTGTGTCTGGCTGAGGAATTCTGGGAGTTGAAGTCCACAAGTCTTAAAGTTGCCCACTTTGAAGACCCCCGAGAGAAGACATCTCACGGCCTGCTGCTGGACGTGGATGTGAAAAATATTTTATTTATTTATCAAAGTTAAAACTCAAGGTCTTGGGCCTTTGGAGTTAGTAGGACTCGAATCTACGCGTTCTTCAGACCAAAAAAAAAAATAAAAAAAAATAAAGCTTAAAAATCAGGATGATGGGAATTGTAGTCCAATAACATCTAGGTTCCAGGAGTGAACCTCTCTGTTGTTTATCTGATGATGAAGATGTTGTTTCAACTGTTTAGGGAACACATTCGCTTTTGCAAAGATTGTAAGATTCCTGCTCCAAATATTAATTAATTCTGACACGGTGAGAGGAAAACGCCCTGATATCTGATTTATCTGGTAGCAAAACAACTCCAAAAAAGAAAAAAAAAATGGAAATAATCTCTTCCTTATCTCTTACAGGCAAAGCTTAGCTGGGAAAAAAAGAAGCATTAAAAATCTGAGCCTTGCTTCTCTTACACAGGTCGTCCTCGATTTACGATCCCATCCTGAGGCCAAAATTTCCGTCGCTAAGTGGTTTTGCCCCGTTTTACGACCTTTCCCGAACCGCGTCTATGAAGTGAATCACTGCAGTTGTTAAGTTAGTAACAGGCTTGTTAAGTCAATCTGGCTTGCCTGCTGACTTTGCTCGTCCGTAGGTCGCCAAAGGAGATCACGCGACGCCAGGCCACTGCAACCGTCGCAAGTACATGCCAGCTGCCAAGCATCTGGATTCTGATCACGTGACCCACAGAGATGCCGCAAGGGTCACAGATGTGAACAGGGGGATTGCGTGACCTCGGGGGACGCTGCCATAAATACGAGCCACTTGCCGAGCGTCCAAATTTTGATCGTGTGAGTACAAGGACGCTGCGACGGCCGTTAAGGGTGAAAAACAGTTGTAAGTCACTTTTTTTTTTTTAGCGCCGTTGTAACTTCGGACGGCCACGGAATGAACTGCTGGAAGTCGGGGACTCCCGGTGAGTAGGGCTCCCGTTTCATACGCAGCAGTCCCTGGAATTCTTTTCAGCTTTTCTGCCTTTGCAAGCAACATCAAAAGCAAAGCCGCGACTGAAAATACTCCTTTTTATTTTTTATTTTACCTTTTTTAATCCATTCCAACTGTCCACCATGTGAGCTTTGGTGATGTCGCCCACGCCTGTAAACACCGTGAAGAGACCCGAGTGGGAATTGTTTAGCTGCAGTGGAGAAGAAGAAGAACTGGTTGAGTAATTGCATATTTTTAGCAACACACATTGGATTTCCTGTCGATTCGTTTTTACGAAAAAGGACTACGAGGAAAGCAAAGGCTTCCTTTTGAACATAGCAGGTCAAACAGCCAGGGCGGAGGGATAAATACCTGCACAGGTAAGTCCTCAACTGACAACGGTTTGTTTAGCGACCATTCCAAGTTACAACCGCACTGAAAAAAAGAGACTTAGGACCGTTTCACACAGTTACGACCGTTGCAGCCTCCCCCAAATTCTGCCTCTTGGCAACCGACTCGCGTTTATGACGGTCGCAGCATCCCCGGGGTCTCCCCCCCCGATCTCCTTTTGTGACCATCTAGCAAAGCAAAATAATGTGGAAGTGGGAGCCACTTAACAACCATGTCACTAACTTATCAATTGCAGCGATTCAGTTAGTGACAGTGGCAAGAAAAAAATCGTAAAAATGGGGCAAACCTCACGTCATAAATGCCTCGCTAAGTGAGATTTTGGGCTGAATTGGGGCGATAAATCCAGGGCTACCTGCGTGGTTTTTTAAATCCCTGATCCGACTGCAAAAGACATGCTGGAGCTTTAAAGCAGGGGTCTTCGAACTTGGCCCTTTGATGACACAACCATGAGGATGCTGTAATGGTCGTTAAGTGTGGAAAAACGGCCCCAAGTCAACTTTTTTCAATCAGTGGCTAAATCAACTGTGTAACCCGTGGGCTTCCTACATACATCCTTCAATCTGGTTAAAAAAAACGGATAGGAGGCAGTTTGGGATCTTTCCCCTGACTAAACACGATAGCTGTAATGAAACGGTCCTAAGTCTCTGTTCTTAGGGATATCTGCCCATTTCAACCCCAACATATTCAGGTCTGGACGTCCCAAAGATGCTTTTTCAAGAGAAAAACTGGACGTTCTTGTTTTTAACAACAACAACAATAATAATAACAATAAAGTTGGAAGGGATCTTGGAGGTCATCTAATCCAACCCCCTGCTCAGGCAGGAAACCCTATACCATTTCAGACAAACGGTTGTCCAGTCTCTTCTTAAAAACGTCCAGTGATGGAGCATTCACAAGTTCTGGAGATAAATGATTAATTGTTCTAACTGTCAGGAAATTACTCCTTAGTTCCAGGTTGCTTCTCTCTTTGGTTAGTTTCCATCCGTTGCTTCTTGTCCTGCCTTCAGGCGCTTTGGAGAATAGCTTGACTCCCTCTTCTTTGGGGCAGCCCCTGAGAGATTGGAGCACTGCTATCATGTCTCCCCTGGTCCTTCTCTTCACTAGACTAGCCATGCCCAGTTCCTGTAACGTTCCTTCTATGTTTTAGCCTCCAGGCCCCTGATCATCTCTGTTGCTCTTCTCTGCACTCTTTCTAGAGTCTCAGCATCTTTTTTACATCATGGTGACTAAAACTGGATGCAGTATTCCAAGTGTGGCCTTACCAAGGCCTTGTAAAGTGTTATTTTTCTTTGAAAAAGTTTTGCTTCTCATCCGAGAAGCTTCTTCAGCTCCGACTGGATGGTGGGGAATGGAAGTCAGAGCTGAAGAAGCTTCTTGGATGAGAAGCGAAACGTCTTCAAAGAAAAACCAGAACGTCCAGCTGCCTCCTGAAAAAACACCATGACCTGGATTGACTGAGAATCTCCACAGACAAGTCTGGACGCAGGCCCAAAACCCAAGGATCTGACTTACGTTGGCTAACAAGCCGAATTTATCACTGAACGGGCCTACGGTGACCCCAAGGCTGCTCAAGAACTGTATGAAGGGTTCGTGGTAGCCCCAAATAATATCCTCCACCGTTCGGTTCATGAACGCGTTTTGCCCGAAGACGGCTAGAGCGCTGCTGAAGGTGAACCTCAGGGGAAACGGCATTTTTTCCAAGATGACCGCTGCTCCCTTGAAGGAAAAAAATAAATAAATCAGCAAACAGAATAAAAGAAGAATCGAAACAAACAGAAAGAATAGTCTTAGAAACGGGTCATTCAATGAATTAATGGCCTTAGTTAATCAGTGGAACGGCTTACCTCCAGAAGCTGTGGGCGCTTTAAGTTTTTAAGAAGAGACTGGACAGCCATTTGTCTGAAATGGTACAGGGTTTCTTGCTGGACTAGATGACCTCCAAGGTCCCTTCCTATCCTATTATTCTATGTTCTATATGCTTGCTTTTTCATCACCATAAACACACCACAAAGCACACCGAGAGCCTTCTCCACAGGCCTCTGGAAAGATCTGTGAATGACTCTAAGACTTATTGAAATGGTGTAAGGGTTTCCCGCTTCAGCAAGGGGCTGGACTAGATGACCTCCAGGATCCCTTCCAACTTGGTTATTCTGTTATTCTCATATTCTATAAATGTGGAGATGCCTTTCCTAATTGCTATCCAGTTAGTGTTCCACTAAAGAGGTGATATCCATCTGTTTCTGTTTGGGCCCACGCCTTGAGAAGTATGTTTGAGTCACTAAACCACACTTAAACAAAACTATGGCTTATCAGTGTGTGTTAATTCCTAATACTCTGACTCATCAACATCTAGTTTTTTGAGAGCTGGGGATTGTCAGAAATGACATGGAAATCCCTTGTACAAGTAACATTTATCTTTCAAAGAAAGAATGAATAGAATAGAATAGAATAGAACAGAACAGAAAAGAAATACAGAATAGAATAGAATAGAAATACAGAATAGAATAGAATAGAATAGAACAGAATAGAAATACAGAATAGAATATAATACAATAGAATAGAACAGAACAGAATAGAAATACAGAATAGAATAGAATAGAATAGAATAGAATAGAATAGAATAGAATTAGAATTAGAAATAGAATTAGAAATAGAATAGAGTGGAAGGGATCTTGGAGATCTTCTAGTCCAGCCCCCTGCTCAAGCAGGAGAACCTATACCATCTCAGACAGGTGACTGTCCAGTCTCTTCTTAAAAACCTCCAGTGATGGAGCGCCCACGATTTCTGGTGGCAAGCTGTTCCACTGGTTAATTGTCCTCACTGTCAGGAAGTTTCTCCTTAGTTCCAGATTGCTTCTCTCTTTGGTCAGTTTCCAACCATTGTTTCTTGTCCTGCCCTCTGGTGCTTTGGAGGATAATTTGACCCCCTCTTCTTTGTGGCAGCCCCTCAAATTCCATATCTTCCCTTTGGCCTTCAAAGAAAATGGCGTTTGTAATGCAATCAACAACCTGTATTTATTTCCAAGTATGCAAAAGTTAGCACTAAATCTCGGGCATTGACAAAAATCCTTTTAACGATTAGCAAGCTAAGAATCAACAGAACTAGAAACTTGGATCTTAATTTCTGAAACATATACAGAAATTGTGAACCTGTTCATCTGGGGTTCTTCCTGCAATCCTGCAGAAGACTGCAAGGATTTATTTACCGATTTGTCTGCAATATTTGCAGATCGCCCACCAAGACGGCATGTGCACACCAAGAGGAAACGAAACCAACAATCTGTGCAATTAAAAAAAAATAGTGTACTAACGCAATGAAGTCTAGCCAGTGAGATAAAACAGTCTTATCAGATTTTATGGAGTAGGGTCAAAACGTCCTTCTGGAGAAATGAATTGCTAGATGAAGCCCAGAATAGAAACACAACAGCGGTGAAAAATTGTGCCTCTGCACAGCAATCCAGAATTGACACTGGTTGTGGTATGTGAATATGGGTTGAAAATTCATAGAGGTGGGAGGCCACTTACCAAAACCAAGACATTCGGCATCACGATGTAATCAGATTCCGATCCATTGGAACGGTCCGGTTGGAAGTTGAAGCTCCGATACCCCAAAAAGGAGACCGTGTCATTATTATGAAAAGTGATGTTCTTTTTATGCCGGTATTCCCTGCAACAGACACAGAACATGACGAAACAAATCAGCAGGTCGAATAGCCACATTTTTTTTCATGTTTTAAACCCACCCACCCCACCTCCATTTAAGTAGTAAAGGCGTCCTTCTAAATGGCAGGTAAACCAATCATTTCATTTTTGTTGTTGTTAGTTGCGAAGTCGTGTCCGACCCATCGCGACCCCATGGACAACGTTCCTCTAGGCCTTCCTGTCCTCTACCATCGTTCTCTTTAACAAAGAGAAGGACAAGGGGGGACATGATAGCAGTCTTCCAATATCTCAGGGGCTGCCATAAGGAAGAGGGAGTCAAGCTATTTTCCAAAGCCCCTGAAGGCAGGACAAGAAGCAACGGGTGGAAACTAACCAAGGAGAGAAGCAACCTAGAACTAAGGAGAAACTTCCTGACAGTTAGAACAATTAACCAGTGGAACAACCTGCCTCCAGAAGCAGTAAATGCTCCAACACTGGAAGTTTTTAAGAAGAGACTGGACAGCCATTTGTCCAAAATGGTGTAGGGTTTCCTGCCTGAGCAGGGGTTGGACTAGATGACCTCCAAGGTCCTTTCCAACTTTACTACTACTATTATCTTCTGGAGTCCATTTAAGCTCATGCCTATTGCTTCAGTGACTCCATCCAGCCATCTCATTTTCTGTCGTCCCATTCTTCTCTTGCCCACCATCTGGCTCTTCTCCAGGGAGTCCTTCCTTCTCATTAGGTGGCCAAAGTACCTGAGTTTCAACTTCAGGATCTGGCCTTCTAAAGAGCAGTCGGGGTTGATCTCCTCCAGGACTGACCGTTTGGATCGCCTTGCAGTCCAGGGGACTCGCAGGAGTCTTCTCCAGCACCAGAGTTCAAAGGCCTCCATTCTTTGGCGCTCAGCCTCTCTTAGGGTCCAACTTTCACAGCCATACATTGCAACTGGGAATTTTTGCTTCCATTGAAATGAGGCCTACGGTTGCCGTGTGCTTGCATGGCCCCCCTCCAATTAAATTAAATTAAACCAAGGGTGCTTCTTGCTTTCGAACCATTTTAGTTTTACAAGGGATGCGTTTGGACGGATGGCATGACGCTAAATTGAAAAGGAGAAGAAGATCCTGACAGCTGACCCAGTCTTGGAAAGACACTGGGATCCTCCCTTGATCCAAACCAAACAAGACAGGCTGGGCCCAGTCTTGTATCTAAATTTAGCAGCTGCAAACAGTCTGCTCTTCAAAAAAAAAGTTGAGTTTTTCACTCGTGAGATGCCAAGCCGTTTGTTTCCGAAAACTGATGCAACCACGCATGAGTGAGTTGCTTCCCCCCTGCCCCCCCGACCTACGCAGCCCGAGAAAATTCTTTGCTTTGTGATTCCTCCACCCAGTTTTTTTGCCCTCCATAAATTTCATAGCAGTCTTAAAATGCGGTTCATTGGACTTGCACGGACTTGTTTTTAATAAGTGTTCCAATCAGTGGCGGGATTCAAATAGGTGAAGAATCGGTTCTCTGCCTGGATGCCGCTTCCGGAAGTCCGTTCCGGGCCTGGGCAAAAAAGAATTAGCTACCGCTTCTGCCGAACCGGTGTGAACTGGCTGAATCCCACCCCTGGTTCCAACAGAAGAGAATCTCGTTGGCTCAGGACTGAGCCTCGATGCTGCCTGAGCTTGGTGTTTTTCTTGTTGGCAGACTTTTTGCTACCAGGCTAGACAACATCATTAGTGCTAGAAGGGAGTGGGGTTTGTAGGGAGGAGGAGGAGGAGGAGGAGGAGGACGACGACGACGACTGTGGGGTCCTGGGTGCTCTCAGAGCTTGGTGGTTTTCTTGCAGACGTTTCATTACCCATTTAGGTAACATCAACAGTGATAGAAGGAGTGGGATTTGCAGAGAGGAGGAGGAGGAGGAGGAGGAGGAGGAGGAAGAGGAAGAGGAGGAGGAGGAGGAGGAGGAGGAGGAGGAGGAGGAGGAGGAGGAGGAAGAGGACTGTGGGGTCCTGGGTGCTCTCAGAGCTTGATGGTTTTCTTGCAGACGTTTCATTACCCATTTAGGTAACATCAACAGTGATAGAAGGGAGTGGGATTTGCAGAGAGGAGGAGGAGGAGGAGGAGGAAGAGGAAGAGGAGGAGGAGGAGGAGGAGGAGGAGGAGGAGGAGGAAGAGGACTGTGGGGTCCTTGGTGCTCTCAGAGCTTGGTGGTTTTCTTGCAGACGTTTCATTACCCATTTAGGTAACATCAACAGTGATAGAAGGAGTGGGATTTGCAGAGAGGAGGAGGAGGAGGAGGAGGATGAGGAGGAGGAGGAGGAGGAGGAGGAGGAGGAGGAGGAGGAGGAGGAGGAGGAGGAGGAGGAGGAGGACAACTCTGGGTTCCTTGGTGCTCTCTAAAGTTGGATAGTTTTCTTGCAGATGTTTCCTTTGCCAACTAGGTCACATCACCAGTGTAAAGAAATGTGACGTTTCTTTCCTATTTATATGCAGAAGATTATCTGGTCGGTGTTAGTGACTGTGGTTTTTGTCTTTGGTCAGTCCTGGATTAGGGAATAGTTTTCTACTTGCCCTTTTCTCTGGTGTCAATCCCTGCTTATCTGGCTGCTGGTTTTAGTCCTTCTGTTTGCTTAGGTTTTTTTTTTTAAATTGTCTCTTGTTCCTTGCACCGATGATGTGACTTCTTTGGCTAATGAAACATCTGTAAGCCAACAACAAACTCAGAGCGCACCAAGGGCTCCTTATATTGTGTGAGCAAATGCAACCAAACCACCAAGAGTAAACAAGACAATAAAAACGGACGGTAATCCCCGTCCCAGTTCAGCCTTGGACGTTGTCAGAATAGAATAAGAGAGTTGGAAGGGACCTTGGAGGTCATCTGGTCCAACCCCCTGCTCAGGCAGGAAACCCTATACCGTTTCAGACCAACCTCTTCTTAAAAACTTCCGGTGCTGGAGCATTCACAACTTCTGGAGGCAGGTGGTTCCACTGGTTAATTGTTCTTTCCGTTGATGGGAGAAATGGCTTCAAAAAGGACTTGGCCGTTTATCACAAGACTTTAATCCCTTGGCCTGGGAACCCATTCTGCTAATTGTAATACATTTCCAAGTTTGTGCTTTGTACAAAAACCGTGACTCACATTCTTTCACCCTGGGGTTTATGTAGTAATCTCTCCCAAGTGGGGAGGCTAACCATCCCGCACTTTGCTCCACTAAGAAGCTGCTGATGCCAGGCAGGCAGAAGTTCCACCGGTTGCATCCCGTCGGGCCTTCTAAATGGGCCAAATGCAATTGTACTCAGCTGTGTTGTGTAAGAATGGCGGAGCTGGCCTCTGCTGTGTGATAGGAAGACAATCCTATGTGCAGAAGATTGGTTAAGCAACAGCTACGCTTCACAAGCATTTGCCCCAAAAGTGGAATTGGATGGTTTATCATAAATCCATAACCTCTATTCTTCTCCTCCTCCTTCTTCTCCTCTTCCTTCTTCTTCTCCTTCTTCTTCTCCTCTTCCTCCTCCTCCTCCTTCCTCTTCCTCTCTTTCTTCTTCTTCCCCTCCTTCTCTCTTCCTCCTACAACTCCGCTTCCTTCTCCTTCTTCTCCTCCCCCTTCCTCTCCTTCTTATTCTCCTCCTCCTGCTCCTTCTTCTTCCTCTCCTTCTTCTTCTCCTTCCTCTCCTCCTCCTCCTCCTGCTCCTTCTTCTTCCTCTTCCTTCTCCTCTTCTTCCTTCAACCATTCCTATTTGATGCTGTTGTAATGCGTCTTTGATGTTGTCTCTCCGTCTTCTTCTGGGTCGGCCTTGTGTTCTTTGACCATCTCCTCTTTTTGGATAATAATAATAATAATAATAATAATAATAATAATAATAATAATAATAATAATAAAGTTGGAAGGGACCTTGGAGGTCATCTAGTCCAACCCCCTGCTCAGGCAGGAAACCCTATACCATTTCAGACAAATGGCTGTCCAGTTTTTTTCTTAAAAACTTCCAGTGTTGGAGCATTTACCGCTTCTGGAGGCAGGTTGTTCCACTGATTAATTGTTCTAACTGTCAGGAAGTTTCTCCTTAGTTCTAGGTTGCTTCTCTCCTTGGTTAGTTTCCACCCGTTGCTTCTTGTCCTGCCTTCAGGCGCTTTGGAGAATAGCTTGACTGCCTCTTCTTTGGGGCAGCCCCTGAGACATTGGAAGACTGCTATCATGTCCCCCCTCGTCCTTCTCTTCATTAAACTAGACATACCCAATTCTAGCAGTCGTTCCTTATATGCTTCAGCCTCCAGTCCCCTAATCATCTTTGTTGCTCTTCTCTGTATTCTTTCTAGAATCTCAGAGTCTTTTTTATATCGTTGTGACCAAAACTGGATGCAGTATTCCAAGTGTGGCCTTACCAAGGCATTAAAGAGTGGTATTAATACTTCACGTGATCTTGATTCTATCCCTCTGTTAATGCAGCCTAGCACTGTGTTGGCCTTTTTGGCAGCTGCAGCACATGGCTGGCTCATATTTAAGTGATTGTCCACTAGGACTCCAAGATCCCTCTCACAGTTACTACTACTGAGCAAGGTACCCCCTATACTACACCTGTGCATTTGGTTTTTCTTGCCTACATGTAGAACCTTGCTTTTTTCACCATTGAATTTCATGTGCCTTTTATGGCATAGGATCCCAAGGCGTTCTCTCCAGCTCTTCACTTGCTGTCTTTGTCTCTAGCTTAAGGTCCATTCTATCCCAGTTCTTTTTCCTATGATCTCATTTTTCATTGTATCTACTCCACCTCTGCCTTTTTTTCCAGAGCTGGCAGTGAGGTGGGTAACCTGGTCAGGCTCACTTTCAGAGATCTCACTGGCTGCACTCAGCCTGCAAACTTTCGCATCCTGACTTTAAACGACAGCTGAAAAAAAATGGGCACGATCCTGACACTTATTCCACACCATCGGGAGCAAAAGTCTTCTGAAAACAAGACTTATCAACGCTCTCCGGAAGCTCTAAGCAGGGCACAGAATTAAACACCACACAAAAGACAATACAACCACCACAACAACAACAATAGGAAGCGAGAACACATCATAATGATATGGCTCCTTCCTTTACTGGCTGAATTGTCGTCAGGAAAAGCTACCTTTTCATTTACATGAGGATTTAACCACCTACGGAAAAAGGCATTTGCGCACGCGCAACCATCCCTAAATGCTTCACAAACCCTTTGATTACCATTCAGTTCTGGAAAATCTTCCTCCCTGGGCTGAATTTGTTTTTCCCGTGGATTTGACCCTGTCTGCCTCGATTAAATCTGGCTTTGCACGAGACCAAAATTATAGTCTGGGTATGTAGATGCGATCCATGATAAAGGCACGATTATAGCTGGCGATGTAGTGTGTTGTTTCTCTGGGTTATTCAAACACCCACCACATACCAAGGATTTATGCTAAACTGTCTTTCCTGATGAGATAGCAACTAAGGGAATTAACACCTCAAGAATTCAACTTGGGCAGCATGAAAAACTGCAGCTAATTCCCTTCCTTCCTTCCTTCCTTCCTTCCTTCCTTCCTTCCTCTCTCCTTCCTCTATCTCTCTCCTTTTCTTTTCCTTCCTTCCCATTGCCCTCCCTCCCTTCCTGTCTATCTTCCTTTTTTCTGCTTTTTCCTTTCCTTTCCTTCCTCTTTCTTTTCCTTCCTTCCTTCCCTCTCCTATTCCCTTCCTTCCTTCCTCTTTCTTTTCCTTCCTTCCTTCCCTCTCCTATTCCCTTCCTTCCTTTCCTTGATTTCCTTCATCCATTCCATTGCCCTCCCTTCTTCCTGACTCTCTCCCTTTCCCTTCCTTCCTTCCTTCCTTCCTTCCTTCCTTCCTTCCTTCCTTCCTTCCTTCCTTCCTTCCTTCCCTCTCCTATTCTCTTCCTGCCCTCCCTCTCTCCATTTCCTTCCTGTTTCTTTCTTGCCTTCCTTCCCTCCCTCCCTTCTCCCTTTCCTTTCCTCCCTCCCTCTTTCCATTTCTTTCCTTCCTTCCTTCCTCTTTTCCTTCCTTCTTCCCTTCCCTCCATTTCCTTCTTTCCTGCCTTCCTTTCTGTCTTTCTTTTCCTTCCCTCCTTCCCTCCCTCCCTCCCTGTCCTATTCCCTTCCCTTCCCTTTCCCATCGGCTCCTAATCCTCGGCCTGTAAAAGCCGAGGGGGAAGGCAGAGTCTTGCCAAGGGCCAGCCTTTGTGTGTTGAAACGAAGAAGAAGCCGTCTCTGAGACGAGCGAAGGAGGAAGGACGCAATGCACACCTGTAGACATACGGCCCCCGCTGGGTCAGGACCGGCTTGGCGCCTAGAAGGACCTCCTTGGAATTCGTCACCTCCAGGAAGTAGAAAGAGAGGAAGAAGGGCAGAGGCAGGTCTTTCCAAAGGGAGTACATGGCACCGTCGGGAGCGATTTGGATATTCTGCAATGGTAAGAAGACAGATCAGGATTGGCAGCTGATCTTTATCAAGGGATTTCAAAGCAAACCAATGGGCCAAGCCTAGTTTACACAATGCGTTGATCGATTCCTTTTCATGGGAAAAAACAGGTTTATCTCTTGCGTGTTTCTCCTTTCTTCATCATCTACCTGCTCCCCGGTTAATATTTGGACTGCAGATCACAATTTGAACCACAGTCTCCATTGCTTCTTTCCTTCCTTTCCATCTCTCTTTCTTTTTCCTTCCTTCTTCTCTTCCTTCCTTCCTTCCTCCCTCTTTCTCTCCCTCCTTCCTTTCCTTCTTCCTTCCTTCCTTTCCTCTCTCCCTCCTTTCCTTCTTTCTTCCTTCCTCCCTCCTTCCCTCTTCCCTTCCTTTTCTCCCTCCTTCCCTCCCTCCCTTTCCTTCCTTCCTTCTTTCCTCGCTCCCTCCTTCCTTCCCTTCCCTCCCTCCTTCCTTCCTTCCTTTCCTTCCTCCCTCCCTCCCTTTTCTTCCTTCCTTCCTTCCTTCCTTCCTTCCTTCCTTCCTTCCTTCCTTCCTTCCTTCCTTCCTTCCTTCCTTCCTTCCTTTCCACAAGGCGATTCTTAAGTGAAACATGCCCAATTTCAAATCTTTTTTGCCACAGTTGTTAGCAAATCACTGCAATTCTTAAGGGAATCATGCAGTCATTAAGTGGATCCATCTCCCCCCCCTCCCCAATTGACTTTGCTTGTCGGAAGCCAGCTGGGAAAGTCACAAATGACAATCACGTGACCTCGGGCTGCCACAACCATTGTAATTACATACAACTTTTTGACTATCTAAGCTTAGGGATGTTCATAATGGTCATAACTGTGAGAACCTGCTATAAGTCACTTTTCTTTTCAGTGCCATTGTACGTTTGAACAGTTGCCAAAGGAACTGTTGTAAGTTGAGGACTACACTTTATTTACATTAAAAAAAAAGCCAAGACTTGGGGGAAAAAAAAGAATTAATAACCAGAGATGTCCCATGTTATCATCCATGACCTCCATTGCTCCACAAATTTTGGATTGCTTTTTGTTGTTGTTGTTTTGCTTCTGGCTGCTAAATTATTGTGATTCACCCAGCCCAGAGGGGACTGTAAATTATCTAAGTGTTTTAATTATTAGCTATGTGTAAGGACCCACCCCACTTTGCATCTTAAGAAGACAGAACTCTTGAAATATTTCTTTCAACAGGCATCTTTATTAAGAGAAAATGGTTGCAGGCGTTCTAGACAGGACTTGGGGGCCAAGCCCTACGGTTCAAGGTTTTAAGGGGTTCCCGGCAACCACACCACACCCCACCATCCTTCCAGTGACAATCCCAGGTGTTACATTTCTACCCCCTTTTCCTCACTGCTGGCGGAAGGGAGACTTCAGAGGGGAGTAGATGAAAGCTGATGACCCCATTGTTATGCCTTTAGTCCTTTTGGTGATATCCACATTCAATTCCTTTGAAGTTGTACCGAAGGAAGTGAGGGCCATAAAGCCCCTTTGTTCACCCCCCCCTTCCCCTTCATCGTATGACAGAATCCAGAGAGGGCAGAAATGGGGTTTTCCATAGTCGATAACTAGAGATGAAATATAACTGGATTCTGACATCCTGCCCCCTTAAAAATAAGATAGATCCACCTGAAAGAAAAACAAAACAGGTATAAAATTTAGTCAGGCTTGTTAGGATACTCAGTGTGAAACTTCTTTAATAGCTTCAGGGCTTTGACATGATGTTTATGGACCCATTCATTTTGTGAGGCAGGGAAGTGTTTCCATGCAATTAAGTACTGAGTCGCTCCATGATATCTCCTAGAATCTAGGATTTCCTTTATTTCGAAGTGTTGTTCTCCCTCCACCATGATTGGTGGTGGGGGGGGGGATTTTTGGCCGTAACGACGCTCTCTTTTCAGCAAGCTGCAATGAAAAATTGGGCGTATTTGCCTGAGATTTTTGGGTAATTCTAATTCCACTGTTACTAGGTTTATGATTCTTTTAATTGGAAAAGGCCCTATATATTTTGGTCCAAGTTTTTTACAGGGTTGTAGGGACTTTAGGTATTTTGTAGATAAGTACACTATTTCTCCTATAATGAATGGTGTAGGCTCAACCCTTTTTTTATTGGCTTGCGCTTTGTATGCCTGCCTAGCTTCATCTAGTGCTTTTCTAACTATTGGCCAGGTGTTTTGTAATTTTGTAATCCTTTCTTTCAGTGATGGGATTGCCGGTTCGTTTGGGGTTAATTCTGGCATGGGGTTGAAACTTTGACCGGTGGCTATTTGAAAAGGAGTGTAACCTGTGCTGGAGTGGACTGCATTATTGTAAGCAACTTCTACGAAAGGGAGTAGATCCGTTCAATTTGTTTGCTGAAAATTAATAAAACATCTTAAATATTGCTCAAGTACTGAGTGACAACTTTCTGTTTGTCTATCCCCTTGTGGATGATGGCTAGATGTCAATCCCTGAGTGGTCCCTAAGAGGGATAAAAATTCCTTCCAAAATGCAGATGTAAATTGCACTCCCCTATCAGAGATGATGCGTTGGGGTGCCCCATGCAATCTGTAAATGTGCTGGACGAAAAGTTTCCTAAGGCTTTTGCGGTGGGAATCTTTTGGCAAGGGATAAAGTGCACCTGTTTGGAAAAGAAGTCCGTGACCATCCAGACAACAGTATTCCCATTGCTTTCTGGTAATTCCACTATAAAATCCATGGCTATTTCCCACCAGGGGGCTGAGGGATTTGCCACTGTTTGTAACAGTCCAGGCGATTTCCCTTGCAACCTCTTTGCAGTTGCACACTTTCGGCAGCTGGCCACGTAACTTTCTATGTCCTTTTTTATGGATGGCCACCAAAATTGCCATTTAATTAAGTGTAATGTTTTTACAAATCCAAAATGCCCTGCTGATTTTGTGTCATGGCAAAGCTACATGAATGTGACTCTTTGGGTTGTTGGTATATATAACTTTTCCCCCACTCAAGGCAGCCCGTCTCTCATTGTGCACACATTTTTGTTTTTCTGGAACCATTCATCTCTTTCCCAACTTTTCCGGAATTCAATTCCGGTGTGGCTGCTCAGCTGTGGTTTTAATTTAGCTTGGGCTCTGGTGGTTACTGGCGCTGCCAGTTGTGATTCTACCATCATCGGTTTAGAGTTGGTGGCTCGCATGCTGTTATATTGGGGCATGCGAGATAGTGCATCTGCCAGGAAGTTCTTTCCCCCCGGCAAATGCTTGAGCGTAAATTGGAACTGGTGAAAATGCTGGGACCAGCAGGCTTGTTTGGGGCTGAGCTTCCTGGGTGTTTTCAGGGCTTCCAAATTTTTGTGGTCAGTCCACACCTGGAAGGGGATTTTGTTGTCTTCAAGGAACTGGCACCACGTGAGTAATGACCAACGTATCCCGTATGCCTCTTTCTCCCATACAGGCCAGCACTGTTCTGTTTCCGTGAGTTTCTTGGATGTATATGCACAGGGTTGCAATACCCCTTCATTGTTTTCTTGTAATAGTACAGCCCCCACTGCCACATCACTTGCATCCGCCTGTATTACGAAGGGCTTGTCCATGTCTGGGTGCCTCAGTACTGGTTCGGCAGAGAAAAGTCTCTTTAATTTCTCAAACGCTGCTTGGCACTCCATTCCACATTTCTTGTTTTTGGAAAACCCAAAAGCATCTTGGGAGGTGGCGCAGCAGTTAGAGTGCAGTACTGCAGGCCACTTTAGCTGACTGTGTTCAGCAGGTCAGCGGTTCAAATCTCACCGGCTCAAGGTTGACTCAGCCTTCCATCCTTCCGGGGTAGGTAAAATGAGGACCCAGATTGTTGGGGGCAATGTAAATATATATATATACATTGCTTACTGGTGTACACCGCTTAAAGAGTGCTCGCACTTAAAGCGGTATATAAGTCTAATAAATAAATAAATTCTAGAACAGAGGTCCCCAACCTTTTGGGCACCAGGGACTGGTTCCGTGGAGAAAGGTTTTTCTGTGGATGGGAGGTGTGTGGTTTCGTGTGCTGCCTGCATCCCACGGATGGGCCTTTGTTTGCTTGGGCGGACACGTTGCTGGCACGCCGCGGCCTGGTATTAGTCCACGGACTGAGGGTTGGGGACCTTTGTTGTAGATCAGGGGTAGGAAACCTTGGCTGTTTTATGACTCGTGGACTTCAACTCCCAGAATTCCTGAGCCAGCCATGCTGAGGGGAAAGGGAGAGGTTTCCAAGCTGAGCCAGGCTGGCTCAGGAATTCTGGGAGTTGAAGTCTACAAGTCCTGAAGGGGCCAAGGTTCCCCACCCCTGATCTAGATCATGATTTGATGAGTTTAGATCAGGGGAGGCAACCTTGGCTCTTTTATGACTCGTGGACTTCAACTCCCACAATTCCTGAGCCAGCCATGCTGAGGGGAAAGGGAGAGGTTTCCAAGCTGAGCCAGGCTGGCTCAGGAATTCTGGGAGTTGAAGTCCACGAGTCATAAAAGAGCCAAGGTTGCCTACCCCTGGTCTAGACCATGTTCTTCCAACCGTGTTTTATGAGATCCTACAGTTGGCCAAGAACGTGACGGGTTCCTTAGATTTTCCCCCACCCAAGGAGATGAAAAAAGTAACTTCAGCTGAGTCCAATCTATTTCATATCATCTCTAAATCAAGGATTCCACAAATTGGTTTTAACAGGATCCACAATTTGGAAAAATTTGGGGGAAAAATCCAACCCTTTTTCTGGAGACCACAGATGCTACTGATCAAGCCACCTTCAGAAGCTCATATTCTACTCAACCCATCGTGCCCTTACAGATAGTCCTTGACTTTCAGCCACAATTGAGCCCTGTTGTTAAGCGAGGCAGTTGTTAGGTGAATTTTGTCCCATTTTATGACCTGTCTTGCCAGTGCCGTTAAGCAGTTCTGCTACTCACACGACTGTTAATTGGATCCGGCTCCCCATTTGGTCTGCTATAGATACAGGTAGTCCTCAACTTATGACAACGGAGCCCAACATTTATACTGCCAAGTGAAACGGTGAAATGAGTTTTGCTTCATTTTACAACGTCTCCTGCCACACGGTTGCTCAGCGAATCACTGCAGTTGTGAAGTGAGTCACACGGCCGTTAAGCGCAACCGGCTTCCCCCTCCACTTTGCTTGTCGGAAGGTCGCAAAAGGGGACACTGAAACCATCATAAGTACGAGTCAGTGGTCAAGCGTCCAAATGTAAATCCCATGACCATCGGGATGCTGCAACCGTCGTAAGTGTGAAAAACGATCATCCGTCGCTTTCCTCACTGCCCTGGTCGTTTTGAACGGTCACTAAATGAACTTTTATAAGTTAGCTCTAGCTGCAGTGATGTGTATATATTTATCTCAGCTAAAAGACTCAGTTTGTGTGGATAAAGCACAGTGAGGCAACTTGTTTACATGCCACAATTTGTTTACCTTTGCTGAACAGTGTTGCTAATTCCCTGAAATCCGCCAGTGGTAACACAACGGCCTGTACTGTCCACAAAGCAGAGTCTGTCCCCAAACACGATGCTAAAAGAGGTAGGGCTGGTTTGTGGTTTGAAACACACCGCCTTTGAATTCTGGTGCTGGAGAAGACTCCTGCAAGTCCCCTGGACTGCAAGGCGATCCAACCGGTCAGTCCTGGAGGAGATCAACCCCGACTGCTCTTTAGAAGGCCAGATCCTGAAGTTGAAACTCAAATACTTTGGCCACCTAATGAGAAGGAAGGACTCCCTGGAGAAGGGCCTGATGCTGGGAAAGATGGAGGGCAAGAGAAGAAGGGGATGACAGAGAATGAGGGGGCTGGATGGAGTCACTGAAGCAGGAGGCGTGAGCTTCAATGGACTCCAGAAGATGATAGAGGACAGGAAGGCCTGGAGGAACATTGTCCACAGGGTCACGATGGGTCGGACACGACTTGAGGCCTTTGAACTCTGGTGCTGGAGAAGACTCCTGTGAATCCCTTGGACTGCTCTTTAGAAGGCCAGATCCTGAAGTTGAAACTCAAGTCCTTTGGCCACCTAATGAGAAGGAAGGACTCACTGGAGAAGAGCCTGATGCTGGGAAAGATGGAGGGCAATAGAAGAAGGGGACGACAGAGAATGAGGTGGCTGGATGGAGTCACTGAAGCAGGAGGCATGAGCTTCAATAGACTCCAGAAGATGGTAGAGGACAGGAAGGCCTGGAGGAACGTGGTCCATGGGGTTGCGATGGGTCGGACTTGACTTCGTAACTAACAACAACAACAACAACAACAAACACACGGACTCTGGAAGTTAGCTGGGCTCTGCAAAACATTTGCCAGACTCCCTTATTTGTCGATTTGGGGTCATGAAAACGTCACAACAACTGTATAAAGCAAGTACAGGCAGACCTCGGTTTACCATCATCCATTAATGACCGTTCAAAGTTACCACGGCGCTGAAAAAAGTGACTTGTGACCGTTTTCCCCACTTACTGACTGTTGCACCATCCCCGTAGTCATGTGATCAAATCTGGGATGCTTGGCAACCGGTTCGTATTTACAAGAGTCGCGGTGTTCCCCCAGCCGTCACCCGGGGTCCTGTGATCCCCTTTTGCAACCTAAGTCAAAGGGGAAGTCGGATTCACTTAACAACCGGGTTACTAAGTGAGTTGCTTAACGACTGCGACGAGGAAGGTCGTGAAACGGGGAGAAAAGTCCCTCAGCAGCTGTCTCGCTTAACAACAAAAATGGTTGGGCTCCGCGGGGGCCGTAGGATGAGGACTAGCTGGCCGAGCCAATGCAGGTAGTCCTTGAGCAATGACCATAATTGAACCGGTCACTAAGTGGAAAGCGTGGGAAAGCATGGGAAAGGGTGAGGAAGCAACTCGACAATTTTGGCTTTGTTTGGCACAAGCTGGGAGATAATGCCGAGCCAATGCAGGTAGTCCTTGACCAATGACCATAATTGAACCGGTCACTAAGTGGAAAGCGTGGGAAAGCATGGGAAAGGGTGGGAAAGCAATTCGACAATTTTGGCTTTGTTTGGCACAAGCTGGGAGATAATGCCGAGCCAATGCAGGTAGTCCTTGACCAATGACCATAACTGAACCGGTCACTAAATGGAAAGTGTGGGAAAGGATGGGAAAGTGTGGGAAAGCAACTCAACAATTTTGGCTTTGTTTGGCACAAGCTGGGAGATAAGCTTAACCAGGCTACACCCAAGCACGTTACTCTCCCTCAATAATTAGCGCCGCCGAGAATCCTTGCCCTGCCCAGTCCTCGTTCTGGTCTCCGGACAAGCAGTTGCCAATCATCTCCGCGTTGAGTGGACATTTGCCCCACCCATATTAAGATTGCTGGAACTTCGGGCGCAGAACGTCTGGATTAGCCAACCTCAGTAACCGTCTCTTTGCATCAAGCAAGCTACGACTCGACTTCTATTAGTGAGTCG